TCACATACAAAAATACCTTAAAAGGAGCCAAGGAAACCAGGTGAGAGACTACAGCACCTGGGTGCAGCCCATAAATAAGAAAATACACACTGAATAAAGTAAGAAGAATCATTTTACATTACCCACCTCATCCCTCTCCCAATCCTAGGCAGAACACCTAGAAGAGATGTATCTTCTACTTGGGGGAAGGAGAAGAAAGTAAGCACCAGCCTTTGCCTTGAACCCCAACATCAGGCCCTGTTGGGAGAACCCGCCCCCAATATTTCAACGTAGGTTCTATTTTCCATAAGTGTCGGCCAGCTGAGAAATCAAGAGAGACAGTACAAAGGGAGGAATTTTACAGCTGGGCCACCAGGGGTGACATCACATATTGGTAGCACTGTGATGTCCACCTGAGTCTCAGACCAGTAAATTTTTATTAAGGGTTTCAGAATGGGAGGGGGTGTAAGAACAGGGAGTAGGTACAAAGATCACATGCTTCAAAGAGCAAAAAGCAGAACTACTAATAAGGGTCTAACAAAGATCACTTGCTTCTGAGGGAACAGGACAAAGGGAAAAAGCAGAACCACTGATAAGGGTCTATGTTCAGCAGTGCGCGTATTTTCCTGATAAACGTCTTAAACAACAGAAAACAGGGTTCAAGAACAGAGAACTGGTCTGGCCACAAATTTACCAGGGCGGAGTTTTTCCCCACCCTAGTAAGCCTGAGGGTTCTGCAGGAGACCAGGGTGTATCTCAGTCCTTATCTCAACTGCACAAGACAGACATTCCCAGAGCGGCCATTTATAGACCTCCCCCCAGGAATGCATTCCTTTCCCAGGGTATTAATATTAATATTCCTTGCTAGGAAAAGAAGTCAGCGATATCTCTCCTACTTGCACGTCTGTTTATAGGCTCTCTGCAATAAGAAAAATATGGCTCTTTTTGCCCAACCCCGCAGGCTGTCAGACCTTATGGTTGTCTTCCCTTGTTCCATAAAAATCGCTGTTATTCTGTTCTTTTTCAAGGGTGCACTGATTTCATATTGTTCAAACACACATGTTTTATAATCAATTTGTACAGTTAACACAATTATCACAGTGGTCCTCAGGTGACGTACATCCTCAGCTTATGAAGATAACAGAATTAAGAGATTAAAGTAAAGACAGGCATAAGAAATTATAAAAGTATTATTTGGGAACTGATAAATGTCCATATTAAAATGAAATCTTCACAATTTATGTTCCTCTGCCATGGCTTCAGCTGGTCCCTCTGTTCGGGGTCCCTGACTTCCCGCAACAAGGCCCACCTCAATAAAACCCAGTGCAGGGCAGGCCCCTACAGACCCTGACTCCTGGCTGGTACCTATGGACTAAGCCTCCAGTTTTTTCCCAGCACCACATGGAATCCCACAGCCCCTCCAGACTTGGTCTCCAGGCCCTCCCACTACTAGGCTGACCCCAGCAGTGCAAGGTCTAGGCCAACCCCAGTGTTGGGCTAACTTAATGACCCTGAGCATCAGGCCTGCCTCAGTGACTGGCCAGCTCCCACAGACTCAAGCTCCAGGTTGGTGCTTGCAGCCCCAGACTCCAAGACTGCCCAGTGGACTTGGTCACCCCAGTACCAGGATGACCCCGGCAGACCAGACTCTGTACTTCCCATAGCACTAGGCTGGCCCCCACCACCCCAGGCTTCATAATTGCCCCAGCACCAGGCTGGCCCCAGCAGCCCTACTGATCAGATCGGTCCCTGTGGATACAGGCTCTAGGCCTAGCCAGTGACTGGTCAGCTCCTGCAGCCCCCGACTCCAGGATTGTCCCAGGTTTCAGACCAACCCTGAACAAGATTGGCCCACACACTCCCAGGCTTTGGGCCCATGCTGGTGCTGGACTGGCAACCCTGGCCTCAGGCACCAGGCCAGCAAACATGGACAATATCCTCAGGCCTGCCAAGTAACAGCCCTGTCTCTATGGCCCCACACATACTCCTAACTAGCCCCTGTGGTCCACACTCCAGCAGACCCAAGGTCTAGTTCTGGTCTGTCCCAGTAGACCTCAGTAGCAGGCTGGCCTCTATGGACTGAGGCTGCAAGTCCACCCCTGTAGATCTAGTAACCAGACTCTATCTTAGTTTGTGCTGCTAAGATAAAATACTACAGACTGGGTAATTTGTGTACAAAAGAAATTTATTTATCATGGTCTGGAGGCTGGGAAATTCAAGATCGAGGCATTGGCTAATTTGGGGTCTAGAGAGGGCTGCTGTCTGCTTTCAAGATGATCTCTCAGTGCTATGTCCTCTGCAGGGGAGAAATACTGTACCTTCAAATGCCAGAAGAAACCAAAGAGCAATAGAGAATTATCTTCAGTCACAAACCCCTTTATAAGGTTGCTAATCCCATTCATGAGGGCTCCACCCTCATGACTTAATAATCTCTCAATGGTGGCACCCCTTAATCCTGTAGCATTGGGTATTAAGTTTTAACATAAATCTTGGAGGGGACAACATCATTGAAACCACAGCAGGCAAACCAACATGAACTCAGGCCCTAGGCCCATCCCAGTGGACCCATGTGACTGGCCCATCACAGAAACTGGCTGGCTCCTGCAGACCCAGGCTCAAGGCCCACCCCAGTGCTAGATCAACCCCTTAGGACCTAGGCTTCTGGCCAACCCTATGGATACAGACTCCAGTCTCAGCTTTGGGGACCCAGGTTCCAGGCCCACCTCCGTGAACCCAATCAACAAGTCTATCCCAGTGGATCCAGGCTCCAGGCCCAACCCTGTGGGTCCACGTGCCAGGCCCTTTGATATGCTGACCCAAACACCAACCCACCTTGCCTGAGGACTTCAATGCAAGCCCATTCATGGACCATTCCAGACACTATGACCAGAATGTCTTGTATATAGACATTAATGTAAGGAACATCAAGAAACATGAAAAACCAAGGAGATATATATATAATGCCACCAAAAAAACACAGTAATCTTCCAGTAGCTGACCCCAAATAAGGAGATATACAAAATGCCTCACAAAGACTTTATAATTATTTATAAATTATTGTTTTAGGGAAGCTCAGTGAACATCAAGAAAACATAGAGAAATATTTGGGTGGTATCAGAAAACCAATAAATGATCCAAATTAGAAATTTAACAGAGAAATTGAAATTATTTTAAAAATCAAATAGAAATTCTGGAGCTTAAAAGTATAATGTATGTAATGAACAAATGCAACAGAGAGCATCAACAGCAAAATTGATTAAAGAGAAAAAAGAATTTGTGGAGTCAAAAACAGATTATATCAAAATATATAGGCAGAGGAGAAAAATGAAAAAAAGAATAAAAAAGGAATGAAGAAAGCTAATGGGATTTATGGGACAACATTAAAGGAGCAAATATTCAAGCTAAAGAATATAAATAAGGAGAAAGAGTCAAAGGGGTAATATTCTTATTTAAAGAAATAGTAGAACATTGCAGAAAAAGAAAACTACAGGTCAATATTTCTTATGAACATTGATGCAAACATCCTCAACAAAATACTAGCAATATGAATTCAGCAGCACATTAAAAGTATTATTTACCATGACCAAATGAGATTTTTTTTACAATGGTTTAATATGTGCGAATCAAGAAGTGTGATATGCCACATTAAAAGTGTACAGGACACAAACCATAAGATCATCTTAATAGAGGCAGAGACAGCATTTGATAAAATTAATCATCCTTTCATGATTAAAAACTGTCAACAAACTAGGTATAGAAGGAATGTACCTCAACACAATAAAGGCCTTATATAATAAACCACAGCTTACATCATACTCAATGGTGAAAGGTTGAATACTTTTCCTCTAAGATCGAGAACAAAACAAGAATGCCCATTCTTGCCACTTCTATCCACTATAGTCCTGAAAGTCCTAGCTAGAGCAATTAGGCTAGAAAAGGAAATAAGAAGAATCCAAAGCAGAAAGAAAGAAGTAAAATGGTCACTGTTTGCATATGATATGATCTTACATACAGAAAACTCTAAAAACTATGCACAAAAATTAGAAGTAATAAACAAATTTATTAAAGTGACAGGATACAAAATCAACATACACAAATTCGTAGTGTTTCTACACCTTAACAACAAACTTTGCAGAAAAAAAGAAAACTAGTGGGTACCAAAATAAAATTCTTAATAAGTTTAATCAAGGAAGTGAAAGATTTGTACACTGAAAACTATAAAACATTGATAAAATAAATTGAAGAAGACACAAATAAAAGATACCTGTGTTTATGAATTGGAAGATTTAATATTGTTAAAATGTTTATACTATCCAAAGTGATCTACAGATTCAACGCAATCCCTATCAAAATTCCAGTGACATTTTTCACAGAAATAGAAAAAACAATTTAAATATTTGTATGGAGCCACAAGAGACCCTGAATAGCCAAAGCAGACTTGAGCAAAAGATCAAAGCCAGAGGCGTCTACCGCCAGACTTCAAAACACATTACAAAGCTATAATAATCATAATAGCATGATGCTGGCATAAAATAGACACATAGAACAGTAGGACAGACTTAAGAGCCCAGAAAGAAACTTACACATTTAAGGTTAATTGTTTTTTGATAAAGATACAAAGAGCACACAATGAGTAAAGGTAGTCTGTTATTGGGAGAAGTGGACACGCACATACAGAAGAATGAAATTAGATGCTCATCTCACACCACATTCAAAATCAACTCAAAATGGATTAAAAACTTAAACGTGAGACCTGAAACTAAAACAATCAGAAGAAAACGGGAAAACTTCATGACCTTGGTGAGTAAATGATTTTTTGATATGACTTCAAAGTACAAGTAACAAAAGCGAAAATAGACAAATGGAATTATGTAAAACTAAAAAGCTTCTACACTTTTTTTCCCCGTTGTCTAAAGGAGATACTATTTAATTATATAAAAGGCAGGTAATAAAATACATTTCTCTCTTTCTAATCAGGCAGTGAGGCATGAACTGTTGGGGCAATTGTTTTATTTTTTAAATTTTTTTAGATGTAAGAAAGAACTTTATTTCCATATGGTGCTTCGGGTGGGGTCTGATGGGGGCTACAGTCAGATGCTTCCCGGTCCCCACCCCTATAGCTACCGGGATGTACAGTAAGTGGGTCTTTCAGGGGTACAGCCAGGAGTGGGAGGAGCCCTGGGTCCCCTCTTTTAGGAAGCCCTCGTGGGTCCCCTCACTAAGCCCATCCGGGACGGCCTGCAGGTGGTGTGGCTTCTCACTGAGCCAGCGGCCGCCCTCCAGGACATTGTGGTGGGACCTCCGCCGTGGCAGCGTCATGATCCAGAAGGCCACCCGGGGATGGAGCTCTGTGTGGAAGCTGTCCATGGCCTTCCGGATGGACACCAGGGCCTCCTTCTCCTCCATCCTGGGTACCTTCCAGTTACCCTGGAAGCTCCCCTCCGCCGGCTGGATGGATGCCACAACCTTCTCGGAGATCAGCACCTCTCCCGTCTTGTTGTCGGCCACCTTGTCAATCTGGAGGTGGCTGGAGAGGGTGTTGTTTCCCAGCTGGTGCTCCTGGTTCTCCTTTTGGTAGTAGTTCCTAGGGAGGCCCCGGAAATCCATGGGGGCAGAGAAGCTGTCTATGCCCCAAAGCAGGTCATCTTTCAGGAAAAGTCGGCTGAAGCCTTGGAGTAGGCTCTGGAGGCCTGTAAGACCCAAGGAGCTCTCTTGGGCATCAGCGTCGTGGATAGAGGCTGCAGTGGAGGGAGTCACCAGGGCAGAGAGGAGCAGCAGCAGGACCAGCGGATGCCGCATTGTGGGGGCAGGGGAGGAGGTTTCTCCCATCTCACACCCTTTCTGGGCTCCGCCCTTATGCTAGATCACAGTCTGGTCACCGCACTCCAGGACTTCCGGCCGCCCACGGACTATTTGGCCCAATCTCAGCTCACTGGAACCTCCGCCACCCAGGTTCAAGCAATTCTCCTGCCTCAGAATCCCTAGTAGCTGGGATTACAGGTGTGCACCACCACACCTGGCTAATTTTTGTATTTTTAGTAGAAACGGGTTTTCACCATGTTGGCCAGGCTGGTCTTGAACTCCTGACCTTAAGTGATCCACCTGCCTCAGCCTCCCAAAGTGCTGGGATTACAGGCATGAGCCACTCTGCCTGGTGCAATCTGCTGTTATTCTAATGAGGATTTTCTTATATGTGACTTGACACTTTTCCTATGTTTAGAATTCTCTCTTTGATTTTAACTTTTGACAGTTTGACTATAATCTGCCTCAGAGAGGACATTTATGGATTGACTGTGTTTAGGGATAGTTGAGTTTCCTGTATCTGGATGTCTGTATCTCTGGCAAGAATTGGGAAGTTTTCAGTTAATATTTCATTAAATAGTTTTTCTTTGACTTTTTCATACTTCTGGAACTCTAAAATTTTGATTTTTTTTTTTTGCTTTGGTATCTTATACATCTTCATTCGTGTTTCTTTTCTTCCTTTTTTTTTGTCTGATTGGGTTACTTCAAAAGCTCAGTTTTCAAGTTCAGAAATTTTCTTCTGCTTAATCTAGTTTATCTTAGAAGCTCTCCATTGTAGTTTTGCTTTTATTCGTTGTGTTATTCAGTTCCAAGATTTCTGTTTGCTTCTTTTTTTTATGATATGCATCTCTTTGTTGAATTTCTCATTCAGATACTGAGTTGTTTTCTTGATTTGTAATGTTTATCTGTGTTCTCTTGTATCTCTGTGTTTCCTTACAATCATTATTTTGAATTACTTTCCAGGCATTTCATAGATTTCTTTTTATGGGGGGGTCTGTTACTGGAGAATTATTTCATTCCTTTGGAGGTGTTGTATTTCCTTGCTTTTTCATGTTTCTTGTGTCCTTACATTGATATCTGTACATATGCTGTAACTGACATTTCTTTCAATTTTATGGAGTAGCTTTAGTAAGGAAAAATGTTCCCCCGTAGAAGTATCTATAATGTAAGTTGGGTAGGGTGCTTTGGCTTTGATTTTGGGCGGACACTATAGTGTGGTCTCTATATGATTACTTTGGCTGTCATTAACATTAGTGATATATGTGAGCTCCTTGGCATCTTAGGGAGTAGTTATTTGTGGAAGCTGTGGCGAGGCTTTGGCAGTTTCATATATTCCAAGTGGGCTGGTTCATAGGTTCCTAGGTTGAATGTGCAGGCACTGGTGGTGATGGTTACGTGCTTCATGTGGGCTGGTCTTTGGGCCCCAGGTTGGATGCACAGGCACCAGCAGTGGCAATGTAGTGCCCTGAGTGGGATGGTCCTTGGTCACTCAAGCAGAGCGTAAATGCTGGCTAGGCAGTTCCTCCTTCGGCCCCCAGGTGGGCACACAAGTGCTGGCAATATCTGTAGTTGGGTGAGTGGACTGGTTTCGTTTCCTGAGTGGGGTAGCTGGGAGCTGGTGGTTTCTTCAGTGGGTTGGGCAGGTCAGTCTCTGGGCCCTTGGGTGGTATGTATGGTGTTTCATGGCCCAACTGCTGGAGGGGAGTGAGGTTACTGTTGGTGGCAGCAGGTCCAGGAAGGTTGCTCTCAGGCTCTGGGAAGCTCACACTTTGGTTCTCCATGTCCTTGAGCCAGTATACCTGTCGTGTTCGACCATGTGTTCCCTGGGGTGTGGGATGTTGTGTGGTCTCAGATGCTGGCAGTGCGGTTGTGCCACTGGGCCTAGCCAGCACTATGATGCTGCAGCCCTTTGAGTGGGTGTTGGGGGATATTGGTGGGGTCTCAGTGTTGTAGAGATGCAGGAGCTATTGGTCTCCATGGCAGGATATAGTCTGTTGTTGTATTTGCTCTCAAAATGGCACCATACTATAGCAGCCTGGGTTCCAGGGGTGGGCCCCTGCACAAATTCTCTCCCTGTAACAAATGCAGTCATGTGGATTCCAGGCAGCTTTCCAGACTAGGCTTAGGACATGTGAGTGTCTAGGAGCTTTTCTGCAGTTAGAACTTCAGGCATTTCTGGTGGGAGTGTGGACTAATATGGATTTTTCAGTTACCTCTTTCCCCACAATGGGGACTATGGGGACTTCCTCCTGACTCTGAGCTGATTGACCTGGCTGCCTTGATTCTTTCTCTATGCTGCCATCTTGAGCTTTTGTGCCTCAGAGTCCCTGTTGCTTCCCTGCTGGATTCCAGCATTCTCTTCTAGACACTTTATTTGATATGTGATTATTTATTAGGTTGGTTCATAAGTAATTGCAGTTTTCTATCATTACTTTTAATGCCTCAAACCACATTTACTTTTGCACCAACCTAATACTGTTTAGTCCTTCTCTGTAAAGATGGTAAGTTCTGGATGCTTTTAGTCAGCCATCATTATCTATATTTACCAGTGGGTTTTGTACTTTCAAATGTTATAGTCTTACTAAGTAGCATCCTTTTATTTCATTGGAAAGAATTCCTTTTAACCTTTCTCGTAAGGCAAGCCTTGTGCTGATAAATTCCCTCAGCTTTTCTGTGTCTAGGAAAGCTTTATTTTTCCTTCATTGGTGGAGTGCAGATTTCCTGCATAAAGTATTCTTGGCTGGCAGTTTTTTCTTCAATACTTTGAATATATCATTGCATTCTGGTCTGCAAGGTTTTTACTGAGAAATCTGTTGCTAGCCTTATTGGAACTCCATTACAAGTTTTTTGCGTATTTTCTCTTGCTGCTTTCAAGATGCTCCCTTTGTCTTTGATTTTTGACTGCGGAATATATGTCTTCATGTGGTCTTTTTGAATTTAATCTGATTCAAAACCTTTAACCTTCTTGTATCTGTATACTTATATCTTTTTCCAGATTTGGGAAGTTTTTTACTCTTATTTCTTTAAATAATCTTTCTGCTCCTTTGGCTCTCTCTTCTTCTTCAGAAACTTTGAATATTTGTTCTTTTGGTGCTGTCCCATAAATCCTGTAATGTTTTTTCATTCTTTTTATTTATTTTTTCTCATTTGATTGTATGTTTTCGATTTCACAGATTCTTTCTTCTGTTTGATCAATTTTGCTGTTGATGCTTTTTATTGTATTTTTTATTTTATTCATTGTGTATTTCAGCTCTATAATTTAAAACAATTTCAATTTCTATTAAATTTCTCATTTTGTCATTTATTGTTTTCCTGATTTTACTGAATTGCTTCTCTGTATTTTCTTGGAGTCTGCTGAGCTGCTTTATTTATTTATTTATTATTATTATTATTTTTTTTTTTTTTTGAGACGGAGTCTCATTCTATCACCCAAGCTGGAGTGCAGTGGTACGATCTCAGCTCACTGCAAATTCCACCTTCCAGGTTCAAGTGATTCTCCTGCCTCAGCCTCCTGAGTAGCTGGGACTACAGGTGCCTGCCACCATGCCCAGCTGATTTTTGTATTTTTTAGTAGAGACAGGGCTTCACCATGTTAGCTAGGCTGGTCTTGAACTCCTGACCTCAGGTGATCCACCCACCTTGGCCTCCCAAAGTGCTGGGATTACAGGCGTGAGCTACTGTGCCCAGGCTGCTGACCTTCTTTAAAACAATTATTTTGATTTCTTTGTCACACAGTTTGTATATATCCATTTCTTTGGGGGACCAGATACTAGGAAATTATCGTATTCTTTGTTATTGTTATGTTTCCTTGGTTTTTAAATGTTTCTTGTTTTCTTATGTTAATGTCATCATATTTGATGGAGCAATCACCTTTTTCAGACTTTACAGGTTAATTCTGGTGTGGAAAGACCTGCCCTTATGGAGGGAGGGGAGTGCAAGGGTGCTTTCTGAGTGAAGGGTAATTGTTCTGGTATCACTGAAGGTACAGTGGTATAGTTTCTGTGCAGCTCCGTCAACTGATGCTGGTGTTGATTAAAATTGCAGGAATCCTTAGTGATGAATACTGTGGATGCCAGCAGTGGCAGTGAGGATTGCTGGGGTCTCTGGTGGTGTTGGCTGCTAAGGTCTTCTGGATCTCTTTTTCTCCCACTAGGGAAATTGTGGTTACATGAATCCCTCTTGACACTGAGTCTGTCTTGTGGCTTGCTTGTAGTGGTGGTGGCACTGGTGTTTGATGAGTGGCACCCATGGAGTGGCCATGGAGCTGAGGCCTGCAGCACAGGTATGTATGGAGAGACTATGGCTCTGGGATCTGGAGTGGTAATGACGCTGGCACCCAGGGCACAGGCACCCCAACTGCCTCATTAGTAACAGAATGTGAAATATGATACTTCTGAAGCAGTCAGGGGACCAAGAAGGAGAGCATAGGCAGGGTTACAGGGGCTCTGGGCTTGCAGTGGAACTAGCTCTCTATGGCAGTTGAACTGGTGTCTGGAGAGACCTTAGCTTCAGGGCCTGGAGTACAAACTAGCTTGCTATGGTGATGGCTTCAGAGTCTGAGATGTGTGTGTGTGAGGTGCAGCCCCAGAGCCCAAGTTCTCATGGGGATCAGTGCACATGGGGGTTGAGAGTGATGGTGGCTCCTTTCTCAAAGCAGTTCAGCAGTAGTGCTTCTCGGAGGGAGGAGGGTTGTGCAGCTGCATCTCTCTCTCAAAGGTTCCCCAGTGGGAATGACTATTGTTAACCTTTGTGGCAAGTGATGCTGTTGTCTTCTTCAGAGTAGGCCACTGGGACCATAGTGGTTTCCACTGCATAACTGATACTCTGCCTTTCTTCTTTGTTCCTAACCATTTCCTATAGTCTCAGATATGCTGACCTCACTAGCAATCCTTTCTTTGTGGATGTTCTCCATTTTGTTTGTTTGTTTTTGCTCCACTGTGTTGCTACATATTTTTAAATGTTTAATGGGCCCGCTATCTCAGGGCTATTTTGATTTTGAGGATAGCTAGCTGGCTAGATAGAGAAAG